TAAAGCTAGTCGTTTCTGGAGAAATATTTGAAATATCGTCAGAGCTTGCAGAGCAATTCCTCTTTGATGTTGGCGTGCTAACTGACATGCTAGCTGCGTTGCCGGAGGTGTGTTTCCGTTTGCCCATGACTATTTTTTCAAAACACTCGGCGATGAAAAACTCCAGACTCTCCACAGTTTCTCCGTCCAGTTTGTTATAATGAAAAGCCAATTTATAACAGTTGTGACGTTATAGATTATAAATGCCTTAAACGTATTACATTATATAGTATATTTACCTGAGAACCTAGCTTACCAGTACATTATCCCTTAGTTGATTAAACTCATTGAGAACTCAGCAGCTCAGCAGCTCATGCACACCACCTCACGTCGAGATTTACTAATTTCATAAAATTATGTGCAGATTTGCACTTTCTAAATTTAGAATCAAGTAGCACTGATTGCAAATAATGTTTCACAATCAAAAGTCAATTTCTTCTTAAGCAAAGTTAAAAAGCCATCTAGTCTCAGTACTTTCTGTGTACAAATAATTCATCACAACTTTGTCATGATTTTCTTGAACAATGCAAGGAAAAGCCACCTCTATTTACAGTGACACACCACAGTGAGGAAACAGGGACCCCACAGTCTGCACAGTGTTCACAGAGCTTTACACTCTGACTTCTGACTCTTCTTGGTGACAGTTTTCACTCCCACAATTCTTTGTGAGGCAGGAAGCAAACAATTTCTTCACTGGGTGACAATCTAACTGCAGTTCTGATCTGCAGAACCACACTCAGCTGTGCATATTGTCTTACCTCCTTTCTGAGGAACACCGTGGCAATAAATATTAAATAAATAAATAATAGTAAAGAAAGAAACATGGAACAGTTTAAATTCATGCTCTTATTTTTAAAGGAACGAAGTTCCTGTTCTGTGTCCTGTAGCCTACCCAGAATGCATTGCTTCCATTTTTCAACAAACAGTTTAAAATTATTAATATATCTGCATGTTTTCTTACTGAAGCTCTGCCAAAAACATAAGAAAATTACCAAGAAATAGCATTACTAGAAATGCACAACTAATTTTTGTTTTACAACCATGATTTAAAAGTCTGTTTCTACGAATCACTTCAGCATTGGCAAGATCTGTGTCAATCTTTAAAAAAAAGATCTTACCAGTAGGTGGTAGTAAAGTATTGACTGTTCTCTAACCTGATTGTTTGCTGGTAAGTGGAGATATGTTGCGCTTACATTAGTTTTCGCTAAATTTCATTGAGTTTGTGTGCTTTCGAACTTCGGGAACTGAATAAATTGACTAGTGCATAGAAATTTCAAAACTAAAATTTAAATTAGCGCTGCCCACCCCTGGCCTCTCTGAACTCCTTCCATGCCTGAGTTTTTGTCTCAGCGACTACCTGAGCTGCAATTGGCTTGTCAGTTATACGCATGTAGTATATACGTATAGTCAGTTATTGATATCTTTAATTAGTTAATAATTGTAGAAATGTATTTTGGATGTCAGGAATTTGTTAACTGGATATTTAGAATGTTTTATTCTTTTTTTACATCTGAAATGGTCATTATGACTAACTGGACTATGGAGATCCGAAATTAGAGTTCATCCTCATCACTATTCACTTATAGACATCCATCCACAATGTTTATTTTAGATAGGAGGAATGTAATTTTCGATATCTGAAAGTGAAAGCCCAATTCACATGAATG